AAAGGAGGCTGACTGGAGCATGCTCTGTGGACAGTAGAACAGCAGTGATGTGTAACTCAGGTTGTCTGAGAGGTATTAGAGACAAGTGCTGTTAGAGAGGAAACAGTATCATCATGTGAACAGGAGGGCCATGGGCCCAAAGAATCTCTGTGGACTCTACATATGAAATACATGAGAAAGGCCTGCTTTCTGTACCCTCTTTCATACTCCTGCTCACCAGCTGTCAAGAGGGGGTCATGGACCACACCCAAGAATTTGTCTTCAACACTTGGGTCATCTGGCACTCAGAGTAGGGCATATTTCTTCAAGGGACTTTTGGGAATCTTTGAAAATGCAAATTTCTCCAGCATAGAGGAAGATCCTGGTCTTGGGGCACAGGCAAACCTGGGTGTGAAGTTCCTCTTAGCCAGTTTTGACTGCAACCCCAACAGGTCTCTTGCATCAAGGGTCATCAACTCCTAGGAGAGTCTGAGGGGCTTCTGTCCCAGGGAGCTTACTGTGCTGATCTGTTTCCTGTGCTGTGATATGTGAATAGTGATGACTGCCACGCAGCATGTGGTGAGGAATGTGTGGATTAATATGTGGGAATCCTCGAGCCAAGCCATAATCAACACTCATTCATGGAGCTCAAAGTGATAGCCATAGATGCAAAATCTTGGGTACCAGATACCTACATGGGCTTTTGTGTAAAATATATGTTCTTCCTTCCTTTAAGGTTACTGTTCTATGAATAATCCTCTTATACACTGTAAAGATTTGTCACTCAGATTGGTTTAATAAAATGCTGATTGGCCAGTAGCCAGGCAGGAAGTATAGGTAGGGCGACCAAACTAAGAATGCTGGGAAGAGGAAGGGTGGAGTCAGGAGTCACCAGCCAGATACAGAGGAAGCAAGATGAAAATGCATTACTGAGAAAAGGTACCAAGCCATGTGACTAAACATAGATAAGAATTATGGGTTAAATTTAAGTGTAAGGGCTAGTTAGTAATAAGCCTGAGCTACCAGCCAAGCATTTATAATTAATATAAGCCTCTGTGTGGTGATTTGGGAAGCAGCTATCAGGCATTTAGGAGTTGCTGGTGGGACTGCTTACATTGCTGAACACCAGGCCTACAGGGTAGTTCCTTCTGAATGGATGCTCTGCTTTGATAGCCCCCAACAATGGTTGTGCCACCCATACACTAATACTCTAGAGGAGTGTCTATTGGGCACATTCCATACAGTACAGTGGCAGTGAAGGTGTGTGAATGGAAGGAGGCTGGCTAGAGCTTCCTTCCTGAGGTCCCAAGTCCTGATTTTGTGGAGTTGTCAATGTCTTAAGTTCAGTGAAAAGCCTTCCAGTTTCAGAATTTATTACCAGGCTGCAGTGACTGGCTTCCCCTATCCAATTCCCAAGGCTTCAGCCTCATACAGATAAGCCTGGTGTCTCTTTCCCGTGGACATTCTGTGCCACACAACCGATCTCCATCACAGTGTGCTCCTGTCTTGCTCTCTCTCCCAACCACAGATACAAACACATGCTGGGGGTCTGGGACAAGGCTCTCCTCTGAACCCACCTGAATGTTGGTCTCCATTTTGAGGAAAGAGTAGACGCCCAATAAAAGCTTGCTGTTTAGGCTTTCAACCTTGTCGCAAATCCCTTCGTGATGTCAGGAGCAGGAAGAGTAAACATCAAGTTTAGCATTTACTCAACTGACCAACAACATTGCGCAACTGTGTGTGGTTCACAAACTAAAGCTTCCCACAGGCTCCCCTCATGTGGCCAACACATTGTGTTTTTGTTTTAGCGATTGCAAATATTGTTAAAAACAGGAGATTTTATGGGAAGTTATGGATTTCTGGGCTCTCTTTAAAATCCAACAGAAACTGAGTTATGGCTGTCACCTATGGATGGGATTGTCTTCTTCAGATCACACAGGTCCTGTCTTCACTGCTTTGGGTGCCAGCTAGCTCCCATAGGCATCTGAGCTTGCAGCCCAAGGTTTGTTAGTTTAAAAGCTTCTGACATGAACAGGAATCTCAGGGAACATTGAATTTGGAGACACTTGACTTGCTGGGTTTATTTCCTGACTCACTGTAAGTTATGCTTTTTCCAACTTCCTCCAGCCCAAGAGTCTCTTTCCTGTGCTACAACCAAAGCCTGTTTACTAACAATGCCCACTGTGAGGGCCACGCCCCCTCCTGGTCTTCCCAACAGCTCTTCAAAGTTTCCCTCAGAGCCCTGCCCAGCTTTAGGTGTTCTAAACTAGGCAAGTGGGTCTCAGCGGGGGTTTTATTCTAGGTTATCTCAAAGGCCTCAGTAGTTCCCAGGCATGTCCAGGTTTCCCAGGGCAACTGGCTTACTTCTCCAGAACCTCTTTCCAGGGCAGTGATAGTCTGCTAGGCCCACTGTAGTGATCCTGAGATTGCCCACGCTCTCAGGAGGGAGGTCCTGTTTCCTGCCCTCTGCAGGAGCTGATTTCAAAGCCCTTCGTTCACTCCTCCTTCTCCTGCCCCCTCCCACACTCCTGTCCTCCCCAGCATTCCTTGTTTCTGTTTATATTGCAGAAAACATCTGTGAGAGTCAATGACTGAGATGAAAGATCTTGGCAAAGGGCTCTTTCTCTTTGCTTGGCTTCAAGGGGCCCAGATGAAGACTGCAGCCTCATCAAGCCTTCCCCCACCCCCTGGCCCCGGAGAGGAGAGAACCAGATCTGAAAGGAGACAGACCAGAAGGTGGCCAGGCTAGGCAGGGAGGCTGTTTTTCCAGTAGAACTGGCTGGCCTGGAGGAAAGTAGATCCCCTTACGCCCCAGATGGTTCTGTGGGGGTTTTCCTGCCTGCTCCATCCCCCACTGCTCTCGGTTTCATGGCCTATCCAGCAGTGGGGCCCCTGTCCCTCACACCTTCCCTCTCTCCTGCCTTTCTCCCGAATGGTGAGTTGTGTGTGTGCAGGGAGTGACTGCCTAGGCATTGCATCCTCTCTTCAAAGAGTTGTGTAGTTTTATCCCAGCTAATGACCTCCCTGGTTCTTCGTTTCTCCGCCTGCGAGATGAGGATCATGGAGTTCGGTTCATAGAGTTGTCACGAGGAAGAAGTAGTAAAGACCAAGGCAAGTTCTGCATTAAAATCGGTGCTGCGCGTGTGGCGGTGATGATGGTAGTGGCGGTGATGACGGTAGTGATGGTGATGACGGTAGTGATGGTGATGACGGTAGTGGCGGTGATGACGGTAGTGGCGGTGATGACGGTAGTGGCGGTGATGACGGTAGTGGCGGTGATGACGGTAGTGGCGGTGATGACGGTAGTGACGGTGATGACGGTAGTGGCGGTGATGACGGTAGTGGCGGTGATGACGGTAGTGGCGGTGATGACGGTAGTGGCGGTGATGATGGTAGTGATGGTGATGATGGTAGTGGCGGTGATGACGGTAGTGGCGGTGATGACGGTAGTGGCGGTGATGATGGTAGTGATGGTGATGATGGTAGTGGCGGTGATGACGGTAGTGATGGTGATGACGGTAGTGGCGGTGATGACGGTAGTGATGGTGATGATGGTAGTGGCGGTGATGATGGTAGTGATGGTGATGATGGTAGTGATGGTGATGACGGTAGTGGCGGTGATGACGTGGCGGTGATGATGGTAGTGGCAGTGATGACGGTAGTGGCGGTGATGATAATTGGACGAGGGTGCAGTGAAGGACAGGCCAAGCTCACACACAAACTCTAGGTAGATTTCAAACCCAGAGCTTACCCTCTGGAGGCAGAGCTGAGTTCTTTCCCTTCTTCTTGTCGAAGGACTGTGCCAGGGTGCTGGGTGCTGGGTGATCCTTGTGACCTGGAGATGAAGGAGTGATGGGGGAAACCAAGTTTCCCCATTCTTGGCTCTATGGACACTGGTTTACCTGTTGGCTTTTCTGGAGCTTACCAACTCTTCTGTCTGGCCATATTCATGAATGGAGGCCCTTGTCATCCAGATGAAGCCCCTATGCCATATACCATGATGACAGTCCTGGGGGTACTGGCTGGGGCTGACTTCCTTGGCCTAGATTTTTAATTCAAGCAGCTACCACTTACCTCTGAGAAGGCTGCAGAAACACCTGGAGAGCAAAGCAGGGGATGTGCCTGTCCTTAGTAGCCCAGGGAGTGGCCAGCTGACTTGGCCACACCCTCTCTCCTCTGTCATGGTGTCTGGCACTTCTCAGAAAGACCAGGACCAGGTCTTAGGAGTACATTAGTGCCTGGGACTGTAGGGGAACCGGTTGTCCTTTGGGAAGATAACAAGTAGATTCTCTGCAGGTGGGACGTACATCAGATAATCTTTGACTCAGGCAGAGACGGCACAGGAGCCATAGTTCAGGTAGAAGGCAGCTGGCCACTGAGAAGTGGGGGCCGGAACTTCCTACAGCCACATCACTGTCTGGCATGAGCTGTCAGGATCACCAACTGGATTCAGGAACATCTGTTCACAGAAGATGAATCTGGGGGGGGAGGGGCACAGAAGAGAAGTCCCATGCCTGACTGACAGCCTGTCCTGCAGCTTCTGGGCTTGTATATGAAATCTTCCATGTACCAGAGAGAGGCGATTTCCCCTGAGTATATAGCCTGCTGGCAGGAAAGGCTGGGGAAAGCATAGCATCCTGAGCCCTCAGCCCAACTCTGCAGGGAATGTGCCCGACGGAGGCAGTGCAGGAAGGATGGACCTGGAGTCTCCGGGCTTAGTGCCAGCTGCCCACAGCCCCGACATGCTTAGCATTGTCCGCTGAGGCCCAAGAGATCGAGCCATGTATCCTTGTCACACACACAGTGTGGCAAGCAGAGGTTGCAGAGTCAGGATTTGAACTTGAGTCAGTTGTGGCCTCAGAGTCTCAGGGACCCTTTTCTACTAAGCTGGTTCTGTCCCATCATCAGTTATCACTAGCCACATGTGGCTCTTTAAACCTAACTAAAGGAAATAAAAGGTTAGGTGTTTTTTTTTTTTGTTTTTTTTTTTGTTTTTTTTTTTGTCACACTAACTATATTTCACTGCTTGGTAGCAGCACCTGCAGACTGTGGCTGTCCCGTGGGGCAGTACAGCATGGAACATTCCATCTTCAGAGAAAGTACCATTAGCGTGGTGACTAGAATGTACGGAGGCCTGAACTTGTTTTAACACACTGGCTAAACCTGTTTATTCAGCTGCAAATCCATCTTTCTGCCAAACACCTATAGTCCCACCCCACTTTCTTCAATCCACTCTGAGATTGGGGGTGGGGGTGATTATTTATTCTGTTTTTTTTGTGAATGGGAGCAATGAGAAGAAGGGTAAGTAATTCACTGGGGCTGGGAGCCAGCACCTCAGGCCAGTGTTCTTCGCCTCAAGGTATCTTCCTAGCTGTGTCTGTGAGGATTCAAAGCCCAGCTGGTCCTCTTAGGGCCTGGGGGGCTTCGGCGGGATCTAACTCTCTCTCCCACCCAGGCAGACCCGAAGGTCACCCTGCCGGCCTGCAGCCTCCTTTCAATCACCCAGCTTTCTGAATGGGTGACTGTGAACAAGCTTTGTGCAGGAGCCCAGGAGAAAAGGGCTCTGTGTGGGAGCCAGGAGACTCTCTGAACCCCACATAGAGGCCAGCTCTGTGCAGTACTGCCCAGGCAGGCTGGGCAGGGAGGGGTGGCCAACTCCATCAGCACATCAACCTCCCTGTTCTCATCCTGGGCTCCCAGGGGATGGTCCTCGATCCTTAGGCACCCACGGAGAAAGGGAGAAAAGAGGAACTTGAGAATCTGATATAGGCTTTCTAGTTTGCCAAGGGATGGTGTCCACAGGGTCTGACTCAAATCGCGAAGCCGGCCTGGCAGATAGGTGGGTCCCTTTCAACCATCCACTTCTGCCAGGCTGAGATGAATGAGGGAACACAAAGAAACCTGCCCAGGTTACTCAGTTAGACGGTGATTGGGGAAGGAGCTGCCCGCAGCATGATGGGCAGGTCATAGGAGGCAGAGTGTTCAGATCTGATTTTGCTGTGCCTGAGTCCTCGTGGTGCTAAAAAGGCTTGCCCATTCCTTTGGCTTCTCTCTTTAACTGGAAGGCAGGGACTCTATTTGTGCTAATCTCTAGCACCTGGACTATATTTGGCTTTTGGAAAAAATTCATCAGCTGATTGATAAATGATTGTGGTTGGATGTGGCTAGAATGTAAGAGTTGGTGGTACCACTGGGCCCCTGTCCGTGGTGAGGTAATGACTTGCCTCAGGAAAAAGGAAGAGAGAGAGAGGGGGAGAGAGAGAGAGAGAGAGAGAGAGAGAGAGAGAGAGAGAGAGAGAGAGAGAGAGACTGGGGGAGTCTATGTCTACATCTCCTATCAAGCAGCAGGAGCAGAAAGGAAGAAAACCACTCAAAATTACTGGAGGGATGAGACCCAGGTTCCTCTCTGCACCTCGGCCCTGGTTGTTGGGAGCCCCCTCCGCTCCGTGAGTGGTTTCTGGTGTGGGCTGGAGTGCTCCTGGTAGGCTGAGGTTGGGTGGTAACTGTAAGCAGAGGAAGAACTGCAAGTGAGAGGGGACCTTGTCAGGATGGATGAGATCTGCCCATCTCCCCTCACCCCCTGCCTGCCCTCTTCCCCGACCTGCACAGGTTGGCGATTCATCCGCGGTCCTCACATGCTGTTCCTGCTCTCAGATGACGAAAATGGAGATCGGTCTGAAAGAAAGAAAGAAGGAGCTTTCTTCCCCCTTCCTCGTCTATCTGAGCCCCTTTCCCTCCCCCACCACCATGTGTTCCCCAAACCTGGGACTGTTCCAAGTCCTAAATGTGTTGGAAAGTGTATCCCTGAGCAGCTGTGAACCTGCTCAGGCTGCAGTGGCCCGGGGTGAATGAGAAACCGAGAGATAGGCTGCTAACAATGCAGCCCCTGTTCTTGCCTGGAGAGCGAGAGTACCATCAACATCACACACACACACACACACACACACACACACACACACACACAGGCACACACACATAGACACACACACACACAGAGACACACAGGCACACACACACAGACACACAGGCACACACACACACAGAGACACACAGGCACACAGGGACACACAGGCACACACACACAGGCACGCACACACACAGGCACACACACACACACAGACACACAGACACACAGGCACACAGGCACACACAGGCACACACACATACAGATACACACACACAGAGACACACACACACACACACACACACACACACACACACACACACACACGCACACTACTTGCCTCCTGATGCCATCTACCCACCTTGCCCACCCCAAGAGCCCAGGTATTTTCTAGTAAGCCTAAGGTAATCATTGACTGGCCCACCTGGCCAGCCTCTGTCTGTAGCTTCTTCCCTGACCTCCTCGCCGCCTTTCACTTTAACTTAGCTGAGAAGGCTGGGAGGGAGCTGAGAGGGAGGGCTGAGGGCTTGCTTGCAGCCAAATGGAGTAGCTTTGTCTCCTGACTTCCCACTGAGCTTGGGGACCCTGAAAGACAGTTGGATGCACAGCCAAGAGGGCTTTGCTGGAGCCTGAGAAGGTTTGGGAAAGCCTATTTGCAGGAAGCAGACATCCTGGAAAAAAAAAACCTTGCAGGCAAGTTTTGAAGCAGGCCTGGCTGCAGGGTTGGCAGCCGCTCAAGGCCGCGGCGGAGTCAGGGGGCCTTTCCATCAGGCCTGATTACAACCACACACGAGCTTTGCCAACTTCAGGCCTTGCATGCCAAGTCCCCACGAGGGTCTGAACCACCCACCAAAACAGCCGTATCCACTCCTACCACATCCTCCTAGGCCAGGAGCCGGGGCTTTCTTTTGTCACAAGTGGGTACATGGAGGCTCAGAGCTCCCTGACTGTTGGGGGCCGGCAATAACAAGACTAGTAGCCTGGTTCTTTAAGTTCTTTGTGCGTGGGTTCTGCCAACCTGGTGCACTCCACGAGTCTGATCATAAAGCAAGCCGAGCACAAATACTCCCTAATAGACTCTGCTGCAGAGTCTGGTCTTCCTAGATAAGGTGGGCACAACCCAGACTCTAGAACGAGACCTTTGTGTCAAGGCTAACCACGGAGAGTCTCTCAATTCTGAGGCCCTGGGGTCTCTTGCAGCTTTACCCTGTCCCCTTCCTCACTTTCCCTGGACCCGAGTTCTGTGATTTCTGTTTCCAAGCCAGCCTTCAAATACTGTCTCCTTCTCCCTCAGTTCAAGCACATATGGCCTCTTTCTAAATTATCCCTTCATATTCCCCCTTGGTCCACGGATCAAAATGCGCATGTTCTTCACATTCCTCCGCTTTAAAGTGTCCCTTCCCCTCAGGACCACATAAGCGCCCTATTCAAACAAGGCAGACCCTAGTTCATCCTCTGTTGTATCAGCTACTCCACGTTGAGCAGCTGATCCATTCTTTGACACCCTAGTGCCTTTGTTCACTCTGTTCCTTCTTCCACTTGGAATATTCTTCCTCCAGCATCATCGCTGTGTGGAAGACATGTCTCCATCCTTCAGAACGTGACTCAAATGCCTTGGACTCCAGAGCTGCCTGCCACCTTGCCTCTGTTATTTACTCCACCGGGCTAGTAGCTCTCAATTCGTGACTTTGCCTTCAGGGGACATCTGACCATATGTGTAGATACTTTTGGTCAATACAGCTCGAGTGTATATTCTTGGCCTCTAGGGAGTAGAGGCCATGGGTGCTGCTGAACTTACAAAATGCATGGGGCAATCTCTCCCCAAAGTATGTGACCCCAGATGTAAATTATTGAGTGTAAGCCCTGGAATAGGTCCCTTGGATTCCTGTTGGTACCTTTTAATCTTCAAAGTTTGGCCTAAAGAGATGTCCAATAAGTACTGGTATAACAAGCAACGGATTGGTCTGCCTTGGTAGTTATGTATTTTCTCATTGCAGGAGTGGTTCTCTTTGAGACCATCAAATTAGGTCTTGAGTTGACTATTATGCACAAGCACATTGAAAACAATGGAATAAAATATGCCCATGAATCGAATGCTTTGCTTTTAGCGTAGAAAAAGACCAATGTATCATTAGAGTATACCTCAAGTTGGGTGTGAACACACATCACTTCTTTTTAAAGTGGGGCCTTTGATAAAGTTTCAGGGAAATTGCTCCCATACACTCATGCCGCAGGAATCAAACCCTCATTAGCTGAGAGGGAGCAAACTCTACATCCTACAAGGTACGTGGCCAACTTGGAGGCTGTACAGAGAGAATCATGAAAATGATTAAACTCTGGACACCTCCTCTGATGAAGAAAGGCAAAAGGAATTGATATTACTTAACCCAAAGGAAGTGATGTTTCCAGTGTGCTCCAACCACTGTCATCCAGGAACCGGCTGTCAAGTGGAGAGAGCTTTTAGCCACTCTGGCACTGAGGACTCAAGAGGCAGAAATAGACAAGGGGGCCCACTGGCTTCTGGACCAAGTAAGTATGTGTAGGGTTGAGCACACATCAGGAAAGTTGATTGGCAGGGGTCCTATTTCCCTATCCTGCTGCCTGTACTATTAGAGGGCTGGGGATGGGGCGGTGAGGCTTTGGATCTTGACTCTAGAACTTACCTTTGAACTGGAAAGGCAGGAAAGACTAACAATTCTGGGAGGTGGGGGTGCGGGGGGGGGAGTATCAGAGAGGGATAAAAAGGTGAGGCAGAGGAGAGAGGAAAGCCAGAGCAAAGAGGCAGCTGGAGCCACATCAGGAAAATGTCGAGGCTGGCTGACGAGCCAGCATCTGGAAAACAGACTGGGGGCTAAATTTAGACTGTCATGACTTGCAATAATTTGTGTGAGCAGGGAAAGAGGAAAATGTGAAGTTGGCGTTGTCGTTTTGGGGGAGGGAATGAGTTATAAGAAAGGAATGGCTGGAGGGGGCAGGCTGTACATGAGGCCTTGGCCCCTGGCCTCTAGGAGAGGGTTGTCTGAGCAGGGCAGCCTGTCAGGAGTGAGGGATGGTGTTTACTGAGCCTAATCCAGCTCATGCCTCGGCCTCAGACGTGCCCTGTGCTCTCCACCAAGAATGTGGGGGTGCGTTCTTGGGCATGCCAGGCAGCTTGTCTCCCACAGCACCCAGATGCTTCCGGGATGGTGCGGGGTGCTCTCTGGTGGGGAAGAGGTCCCGGCAGGGCTCTGGATGTGGGGCTTACGTGAACAGCACTCTGTAAATTCTAGGAATGTGTATACATTGCAGAGGCCTTTCTCCAGCTGGATTATAAATAGAGGATTAGTTCAAAGGCAGGCAGCCTTTTAAAGTGACTGTGGCAAGCAAAGTCTGCAAACCAAATACAGTAAAACCTTCTTAAGCCCCTGTTCGTTGGCTGATTCCAAATAGCATATAAGTCAAAGTCACCGCATTTTCCTGGCTGACTAGGTGCCTCGCTGTCCTTTAGGAAGTTTCCTAAGGGGTCTGCACAAAGTGTTGGTGAAATCTCAGTTATCTAGATCAGCACACACTGATTTAGATGGCAGAATACCCCAGTCAGCTTAGTTTGTCCTTGTAAGTAACACGCTTTCAAAACGCAATCATTTGGGATCAAAGCTTGTCTTTTAAAATGTCATCTATGTAATAGATTTTAGTGCAGAATATGTTGGGATCTGTTTTGTTTTGAGACAGGGTCTCAGCCCAGGCTGAGAGTGGACTCATAAGCTCCAGCAATCGATCCTGCCTCAACCTCCTAAGTAGATGGGGCTACAGGTATGTGCCACCATATCCAGCTGGGATATTTTTATTTTAATTTAATACTTAAAAATTCTTCTTAGGGTCGTTTTAATAACTCTTAGTCAATATACTATTATTCCAGTCACACCCAAACCTTCAGATATGTGTATTTATGTTCTTTTGGGGATCCATGGGTCTTTTTTATATTAAAAAAATATTTATTTAATTTTAAATTATGTATAAATATGTATGTCTGTGTGAGGGTGTGTTTATGAGAGTGTGGGTACCGGTGGAAGCCAGAAGCATCAGATTCCCTGAAACTAATTACAGGCAGTTGTGACCTATCTGATGTGGGTGCTGGGAACTGAACTTAGGTCCTCTGGAAGAACAGTATAAGCTCTCTCTTTATTTCTTTTTAAAAACCATCTTATCTTTTCTTTTGCAAGCCAGCAGTGAATCTTTACTTTGATGTCAAGGAAAAGGTTGTATCACCTGCCGCAACCTGGTAAACCCATTCTTTTTAGTCTAATACACTTCTTTTGGTCTGTTCTGGATTGAGAAACCATCTACACAAACTTGTTAAACTTCTGTGTGACCGAAAAGGTCCTGACACCTCATGAGCAAGGAACCCAGGCTTCCCTAGTCCACAGGACTCACCCAGTCAGTCCTAAAGGGGCACAGACCATCCAGCCTCCAAGGGCACAGTTGCTTTGGTTGTATGATTTGTTAAGCACCCCAATATGGGCTTAGCTTGGGTACATTTGGCTGCTTAGACAGCTCTTGGCTCCTCTCCAGGCTCTGGTGTGATTTTGGAGAGCGAGGTATGTGGGTACCTGTGCTCTGGGTAGAGGGAACTTTCTTCTGACTTGAAGTCTACACTCATTAAACCTTTGAATTTGAAATCATTGAGGGATTTTTTTTTTCCTCCTAAACTTAATCATGTCAGGTAAAGGTACTGAGTTGGAAATTGGCTCAGAATAAAAGATAGAAACTGGATATTCAAGGTAGGTGAACATAGGCTAAGCCAATGCGGAGAGGCCTAGAGGTGTTTACGTTGTGTTCTGGGGTCCTCCAGTTAGCAATGATCAGATCCAATGCTTTATACAGTCCTCAACCAGCCAGCCTCCCCTCAGCAAAGGCCAGACATTTTTTGATAGAGAAATCAGACTCGTAAGAGGGGAGGGGCTATACTCAGTACCAGTGATTCTCAACCTTCCTAATGCTGCGACCCTTTGATACTGTTCCTCATGTTGTGGTGACGTGCCCAACTATAAAATTATTTTGTTACTACTTCATAATGGTAATTTTGCTACTGTTGTGAATCGTAATGTAAATATCTGATATGCAGGATATCTGAGATTTGACCCACCAAAGGGGTTGAGACCTATGGGTTGAAAACCATTGCTCTTTACTCTCCAAGGCTAAGAAATAAAGAGGTAACTTTAAGAAGCCCCAAAGCCAAGCCCCAGCCCAAGGCAGCTTCATCCGCATGCCTCAGAGAAACAGGAATCTCACAGGATTTCAGAGGTTGTTCTGAGCAGTTCTTACAACGTGTTCCTGTATAAAAAGTTCAGGGTCAGACTTATTTTGTTCTCATACGGTGTCATGTTAAGACACTGGCCTCTTTGCTGAAGGTGTCCATCATGGCCAGTGTGCTCACATACTGACCCAATCTGTTCTTATACCCCACACAGTCATGACCTTGGGCACATGCCTGCCCTCTCCTCTTCTTTGCCCTGATTGGGTCAGGATGCTCGAGGGTGACCCATTCATTGGCTAGCTGGCAATCATTGGTGACTGATGTGCCTTGACACTGAAAAATAAGCTAGGGTAAATGAATCTGCTCTGGGGAATCCAGAATTGAAATGGAAAGAACGTGCCAACGGGCCGCAGACACAGCAACTGGGAAGTCATGCGCAGGGTGGAGTGGGGTCCATCTGGAAGCTGACCTCACAATAAGGTGGCAGCTGGCAGTGAGACATAGTGAATGGAGAGCAGAGTAGAGTTTTAGTGGGGGACCACTTGTGGGAGCCAGAGCTGAGCCCCCCACAGCGTGTCTCCTCCTGTGAACCCCACTTATGCTCATGTGCTTAGCCCCGAATGACTTAAGAGCTGTCCTGAGTGGGTCTCTGTTCTACGGCAACAAAGCAGCCATGTCCTCTAGAAAGCAGTTGCTGTAACCCTCAGAGATCAAGGCTAGACCCATCAGATATGTCCTTCTCTAGCCTAAGGAATTATTTCTTTAACGTTTTCCTCCGAGGACCCTCTGACTGAGGCTTTTAATCTCTATGTTGCTGTTCTCTGAGCTAAAGGTCCAGCGCCTTCCTGTTCCCTTGCGATGCCTGATGCCAGGGTTGCCCCCAGAGACCTCCAGACTGACTGACTTTGGTTCACAGTTTCCTGGTCATCAATCCTAGGACAGGGCTCTGCTTGGTTTTCTAAGGACAGAGCCGCCTGCTGACTGACACACAGACCTGCTTCTTCCATAACCTGATACTCCCCACAGGGGCATCACTGTCAGTAAATGTCAGTGCAGGAAGGGGCTTGGCTGTCAGCTGGCCCAACCCTGTCATTTTAGCAATGAGGAACCTGAGTTCCAGAGAGACTGCATAACTTATTCAAGGTTCGGCAAAGCTGAACAACCTGCTTTTCTCTCTCTCTGAATGCTTTTTTGCTTTTTTTTTTTTTTTTTTTCAAGACAGGGTTTCTCTGTGTAGCTTTGCACCTTTTCCTGGAACTCACTTGGTAGTCCAGGCTGGCCTCGAACTCACAGAGATCCGCCTGGCTCTGCCTCCTGAGTGCTGGGATTAAAGGCAAGCACCGCCACCACCGCCCAGCACTTTTTTGCTATTTTTGAGCTCAATCTCGCTGATTTAAAGTGTTTTTCTGACCTCAGAGGGCATTTTGCATTGTGTGTATTTGAATTCAAACATTTATTTGTGTTTTCCTCTGGCAGATAGAAATGATTGTGAGAGCTCAGAAAGCTGAGGCAGGAAGATTGCTTGAGTCCAGAATTCTTGGGATCAGTCTGGGAAGCACAAGGAGACCTAACCCCTTAAAACAAAAGAGAAGTAATGTGCAGTTATTCCACAGAATTTTGACTGTGAAGCCACAAGTATAGTATTTTGTTATTATCCCAATGTATCCTCATTTTATAGGAGATTAAATGTTATAAGTAAGGTCATAAATAAAAGAAACTAGATTTTGGTCTTCGGTTTTTTGAGACAGGGTCTTACTATGCAGCTTTGGCTGTCCTGGAACTCACTGTGTTGACAAGGCTGGCCTCGAACTCACAGAGATCCACTTGCCTCTGCCTTCCAAGTGCTGGGATTAAAAACATGTGCCACCATGGCCAGCTTGGAATTTTTAAAATTTAATGTATAAGATTAAAGAGATACCATACCATGTATCATTGAAATACGTGTGTGTGTGTGTGTGTGTGTGTGTGTGTGTGTGTGTGTGAGAGAGAGAGAGAGAGAGAGAGAGAGAGAGAGAGAGAGAGAGAGAGAGAGAGAGAGAGAGAGAGAGAGAGAGAGAGAGAGAGAGAGAGAGAGAGAGAGATGAGGTTTCTCTGTGTAGCTCTGTCTGTCCTGGAACTTGCTCTGTAGACCAGGCTGGCCCCAAACTCAGAGATCTTCCTGCCTCTGCCTCCTGAGTGCTGGGATTAAAGGAATGCCCCACCACCACCTGAGAGAGATTTTATTTGAACAAAGCTGAGCCACATTAGTGATTTGAAGGGGAAGGGGAATTTAGAATCTTACTGTGTACCATTTCCAGAGAAACCTCTTAGGGTTTAATGAGTTAAATGCAAAACACATTAAAAAAAAATCCTACCCAGATTCTCAAAGAAAATGTAAGTGAATGGCATGCTAGTCTGTAAGAAAACCATTGTAGGCTAAAAACAATGGCAACCATATGAAAGACTTAGTGATTGAATGCATAAGATGTTTAAATGGCTTTACTTTGGAAAATAATGTAAACCAAATTAAAAGGCAAGAGTTTAAAAAAACTTGGAGAAATAAATACATAAGAGGAATATTCTTTAAGAGTTCGTACAAAGAGCTAGGAAGATGGCCTAATAGGAAAAGAGCTTGCCGCACAACCATGAGGGTATGGGTTCAAATCCCCAACACCCATGTAAAAAGCCAGGTGATGTGGCATGCATCTGTGAGACCAGTGCTGGGGAGGCAGAGCCAGGCACTCGCTGGAGCTCCTCGGTCAGCCATTCCATCTAAAGTGCTGAATTCAGCCTCAGTGAGAGGCCCCGGTCTCAAAACATAAAGTGGAGAGCATTAGGGGAAGAACCCTGATGTCAATCTCAGACTGTTGCACACACAAGCACACACATGTACGTGCACACCCACCCTCACGTGTGCACACACCCACGTGAACACATGTACACGTGCAAACACGGAGAGTTCAGATGACTTGGCAAAGAAAACAAAAAGGCCCAGGAACAAAGGATAGAAACACAGTATTCACAAACAGAAATGCAAAAGGCTACTTGTGATATTCCAAGCTTTAGGAATGACCATTGCCCACCTATCATGAAAGGAATGAAGTTTTATCAATTTTTTATATTTATTTAATTCATGTGTGTGTGTGTGTGTGTGTGTGTGTGTGTGTGTGTGTGTGTGCGCGCGCGCGCGCGCGCAGCACACGCACGCACACCATAGTGCATGTGTGGAGGTCAGAGGTCAAGCTGTGGGAGTTGGTGCTCTCCTTCCACCAAGCGGGTTCTAGGGATCAAACTCAGGTCATCAGGCTTGGCAGCGCCCACAGAGCCATCTTGCTGTCCCTTTTGTTTATTTTTAAAGGAAATAATTGAGAGTTGCCCCTCTTGTGGAAATTTGGGCCTTTTCACTTGCTCTTTGAGCAGAGAAGACCTGCCCTACTTTTCTGAACACAATGCTTTTGGCCATGTGCTGAGAACCTTGAAGATGGTCATCAGCTTTGACTCACTTCTGGGAACTGTACCTGTGATGTGGTTGTTAGATTTAGCAAATAGAAGATAAGGTTCCCAGTTAAATTTGAATCACATACAAACAATGAATACTGTTCTTATTTATTTATTTTTAGAGGCTAAATTGACTCCAGGCAATGTCTTTGGGACCACTTTTGATAAGAAAATTTTCATTGTTTATCTGAAATTCAAATTTAGCTAGGCATTCGGTATTTTATCTGGCAGCCCTTGCCTTGAAATTTTTAATGCTGGGAGTTTCTAGAGATGGCTCAGTGGTTAAGAGCGCTTGCTGCTCTTGCAGAGGGCCAGAGTTCAGTTTCCAGCATCCATGTTTGGCAGGCCACAACTGTCTGTAACTCCAACTCCAAGGGATCCAGCACCATTTTCTGGCTTCTTCAGGTTCCTGCACACACATATTACACACATTAAAAAAAAACAAACAAACTTATAAATTAAAAAGGAATTTTAATGCTGAATGGTATCTTATGCATATACTTGACCCACAGAAGGTGTTTCATAAATATTTGCTGAATAGTTTAGTTATAGACTCCTTAGCTATAGAAATAATCTAGAATCCAGCAAAGATTTATGCACACATCTTTGTGGCGGTTTCTTTTCCTGTTTCTGAGATAGAGTCTTGCTACGTAATTCAGGCCAGTCTTGAACCCGCCTTCCTCTCACCTGAGCCTCTAAAGTGATGAGATTACAGGCTTGCTGTTAAAAGATAAACCGAATGCCAACCACTGGAGAGAACTCTGCAATGCTCCCAGATCACAAAATGGAAGTAGAAGTCAACAGTGAAAAAAGAGCTGGGAAATCTTCGGACACTTGGGGGTTAAATGGTGGGCCATAAAAAGACCAGAGTCAAAAGAAAAACCCTGAGAGAAATTTAAAAGTACCCTGAGTTCAATGAAAATGGAAATTCAACTTAACCACACTTTGTGGGTTGAAACTGTTCAACTTTCTGTAACCAGGCATAATTCATACAGGAAGGAAATACACAAACTGATGGACATGCAGCTAATTAGCAGATTAAATCAAATCATTAATGATCTTTCAAAACAGAGGGCAAAACAGGTTCATAATGGCCCACTGATACATTTCACCAAATATTTAAGGAAGAAATTACATTAATTCTCTACAGTAATCTTTAGGAGATAGGGGGGAAAGTGAGTAATATTTCCTAAGTGATTCTATGATGCCAATGTCACCTAAAACCAGACAATGATACAGAAAGAGGAGTCTGATTATTTCCCGTGAATATAGATTCTAAAATATTCAGTACAATTTTGTCAAACCAAACCCAACAATATATAAAACTCACTACATATCACAATCCAGTGGGATTTCTCCCAGCAATACAAAGCTGTTCAGCATTTGAAATTTTATCAATGGAACCCATCACTTCAACAAACTAGGAAAAAATAAAAATCATATGATCACATCAACAGATGACAAAGGATATTTGACAAAATCCAGCACTTGGGCTGGGGGTGTGTCTTAGTTAGGAGACACATCCCCAGCTTGCCTTGTATTCTCAAGCCTGGGGTTCCATACTGAGCACCCATAAAAACAAATTATGGCGGAGCACTCCCGCAATCTGAGCACTTGGGAGGTGGGAACAGGAGAATCAGAAGTTCAAGGTCGTTCTTGACTGTGTAGCAAGTTTGAAGTCAGTCTGGAATATACAAGAGCAACCCACCAATTAACCCACTAAGCAGTTAACGAGCAAACAATTTAACACTCTATTCCTGACCTCCCCTACCCCCAAATTTCAGTAAATTAGGAACACAGGGGTATTTCCTCAACTTAAAAAAGATATCCATAAAAAGCCATATAGCTAACATCTTACTTATTGATGAGAAACTCAAAGCTTTCTGACCAAGAGAAGAAACAAAGTAAAGACACCCCAGCCGCTGCTTTTCAACATGTGCTAGAAGTCACAGGGAATGTAATAAGACAAGAAAAGGAAGTAAAACACACACAGATTGGGAAGGAAGAAATGAACTGGTTTTTGTTGGAGGTAACGTGATCGTCCACAGAGAAAATCCAACTGAACTGACGAAGCACTGGAACCCACAAATGATTACAAGGTTACTACAAAATTATCAACTGCTTCCCTATATGCCAGCAACAAACAAGAGGATTTGAAATGAACCCCAGTAGCACAGGGCTGGCATGTGGGACACACGTGTACATAGTTGGCATAATTATATATGGTCATTATTGGGTCTATATACAATCAATGTCATCCAACTAATACACACACTCTGGTCATCTCTGCCGTAAGACAAGAGCTTAGAGGACTGAGCTCTGAAGTATTATGGTCACAGAAGTGAAGGTACGTGTAAGGAGTGGTGTCTCCATGTGTGCACAGAATTAGGAGGAGGAAGAGTCAGAAGCAGCAGGAGAGGACAGAGAGAACACCCAACAGTGATGCAGAAGGTCCCATCTTCTTTTCAAGGGTATATCCTTGGCTACCTAGCTTCCTTTCACTAGACTCTAGCACTTCTGTTTTTCCTTTTCCTACTCATGTGTGTGTGTGTGTGTGTGTGTGTGTGTGTGTGTGTGTGTGTGTGTGTGTGTGACAAGATCTCCTATAGCCAAGGCTGGCCTTGAACTCATGATCCTCCTGTCTCGACCTCCTGAGTGCTGGAATCACAGTGAAGGGCCACCACACCTTTTGCTATGCTAGGGATCCAGCCCAGCACTTTATCCATATGCTAGGGAAGCAGTCTATCCACGGAGCTACATTCCAGCCCTAGGCCCTACCTCTTAAACATTCTACCATCTCCCAATAATGCTATGGACTGGTGCGTTATCCTGGTAAATAGCTATTTGGTTCTAGATGCGAGGTTGTCCCTCATCCCACTTCGAACCCAGGCATGTTTGTCTCCAAGTGTCCTCGAATGCCTTTGTCTTGGGGTGGGCTGCCCTTTCTAACTCTGTGACAATGCAGGGAGAGAAGAGCAAAGCAGGCCAAGGTTAGGAACACTGTGTCCTTGAGAGCAGCTAGAAGGTAAGTCGCTTCCAACAGAGGTTTCTATTGTTGATTCCACGATACAAAAGCACCTGCAGTGTGAGAGGGAGGAAGCTCACCCATGGGGGGGGGGGGAACTCAATTGAGAACTCCAGCTGACTGCCTCAACTTCCCCAGTCAGTTTCTGTCGGATGCTGTGAGGGTCTGATCTGATTCGATGGTATTACCTCCGTCTGTTGCTATGGAAGCCTCACCTCACGGCCACTGCTGTAGCCAGGGCTCTCTCTAACATGAACATGTATATGTTTTGTTTGTTTTTGTTTGTTTTTTGAGACAGGGTTTCACTGTGTAGCCCTGGTTATCCTGGAACTAGATCTGTAGACCAGGCTGGCCTCGAACTCACAGAGATCCACCTGCCTTTGCCTCTCGAAGTGCTGGCATCGAAGGCATGAGCCACCACCGCCCGATGGCTTGCTATATTCTTAGAAAGATTCACTCATTCAAAACCTAAAGTGTGGGTATTGTAGCTCATTCTCTGGACAGTACAGAACAGCCAAGGACCAAGCCTTCATCAACCCAGACCTCACTGCCTGTGGCTGAGGCTTGTGAGTCTTCCCAATGGAACACCTATCCCGTGAAACCTTCCTGTGAGGTCCAGGAATTCTGCGCCAGATGCATGCCGGTTCCTGGGTGACCCCACCTCCTCAAGCGGAAGTTGGAAGAGCCTCCTTCTCTCAGGATCCTTGAACGATTGCCTTAGCTTCACTCCACATTTGCTTTAGGTGATCAAGAAAACAAATGTCTACTGAACCATCTCCCTGCGGCTTGAGGGTCTGGTGTGCTAGCTAGCCTCGCTGGGCTTAACGCAGTCTCCCTCGCCTGTGCGTTCTTGGGCTTTTTCACACTCATGGGAAGCTCTATCCTCTACCTTATTGCCAAATTAACCTTTCTTCAGTCGATTTGGTTGTGCAGACACCTTCCCCTGCCCTAACCCTTCCTTTACCTACAGACTCCAAGACACACTTTAGAGAGAGAGAGACGTGGAGCCCTGCGGTACCATGCTTCTGCTTCCTACTCACTCTCACATTCTTGCACTCCTGTGTAATCTGACTAGAGTCCCCCCACCCCAAAGCATCCTGCTCTCTCCTGTTATTTCCCGCGCCCCCCTCTGACATTGTCTTTTAAGTCCATCTGAATCCTTCCTTTACTAAGACCCACTTTCTCTCCACAGAGTGGTCCCTCTCTGCTCACAGCCTTCCATTTGAATGCCATACCGGTCTATCAGTTGCTGCCTTGCATATAACACCCATGCTTGCACAGCCCTCCTCCCCTCCCACTGGACTGTTGGATGAATGCAAGCCTGGTCCTTAAACATCCCTCACTATGCCAGGCATAGTCTAGATATAAAGTGGGTGCTGGCTCTCCTCCTCCACCGCCTAGCAGTCGTCAATCTTCCTTTCTTGAGTGTGAGGCCAGGGCGAATGCAGCACGTCGGCAACCAGCTCATCCATTCCCTCCCCCAGCACACCCAGAGGGCTAACTGTGTGACCTTTTCCATCTGTGGGTCTCCCTCTCTCTCGCTCTCTCTCATTTTTCTCTTCAAACGCACGGTCTTGGAGCTTGTTCCGAAGCCCGGTCTGGCTGGGAGGAAGGCCACTCAGTTATATTTAGGCTAGCAGAGACATCAATTTTAGGCTCTTTAAAAATAAAGTCCCGTTTCAGCTGGATCCTCAAGCATGTTCCCACCCACTCCTTGCAAGAGGCTCATCTGCCTCCTGCATACAGGAGTGTCTCAAGTACAGACCCTTCACGTGGCCCACACATGTGTGAGCATGCGAGTCAGGATCTCAGCTAACAGTTGCCCTGCCCGCCCAATTCAAGGAAGGAGTTTTCTCTGATCCCCAGGTCTTCCTTCATCAGTCTGTTCTCTCCTTTGGGTCCCAGAGGCCTTGGTGACTTCTTTACGGCCTTTTCTCTCTGCAGGAGCCGGAATCCGACCTGTTACCGGAAAAGGTACAGCCTCCGCCCGTTTCTGCTTCCTGTACTCCTCATTCCTACACTCCAGGGTCAGAAGGAAACAAGACGAAGGTCAAAAGCTTGAAGCAGACTGTGGGACTTGCCACTGGCCTAGAATGTGACATGTGGCTTTGAATGCATGCTCCCGGTGGGTGGCCTGTGTGTGCAGGTGTGCCTATGTGAGACACACTGAGGAGGCATGAGAAGAGGCACATGTGAATGCCAGGCCGACCCTTCCCACTCCCTCTCTTGGCCCCACGGCTCTGGTTCTTTTCCATCCCCGCTGATGAAACACTCCTTTATGTCTTATTCACATCCTGTCTTGACTACCACAATTGTCTCCTTGCTGGGCCCACATGTCTCTCGTCACCAATGGGATCCAAATGTTGCTGACAAAATAATCTCAC